CATCAACACACAGTGGAAAGCCAAATGGGCTGATGAACACCAGATTCAAGCAGTTACATTGTTGACCCTACACAAAAGGTGCCAGGTTTTGACCTTCCTCACCAGCATTGGTCAACTCTGAACAGGATCCGTAACCAACATGGTGTCTGCCAAGACTCATTGTTTAAGTGAGGTCTTGTCTCTACCCCTCAGTGTGACTGTGTTCCTCAACAAAATATCCATCACATTGTCCCTGAATGTCCATCAAGAGCTTACACCGGCCAATATCTGATTTTTTCAACATGGACCATCCTGTCCTTGAATGGTTGAGTGGACTGGACATTATCATTTGAACCACTAGAAATCCATGTATTTGCCATATGCTAAATAAATAAAACTTCTTTTTTAAAAAACAAATTTTATTGATTTTTAAACACAAACATAAACAAACAAAACATAAAACATAAAAACATAAAACATCTTTTTTGAAAGCAGCTTGATCCCGGGTTACATCTCTTCATACAGACACAAATTCAAATTCATGCTCATTTTATATACCATTCCATATCTTATTACCATTCTACATTTTCTATATAGCTTCTCCCCTCTTTTAACTTTCTTAGTTTTATTTTATTTATTTCATCTCAGTTCAGATCATTATGCTTATATTCTTTGTCTGTCCTGTTTCCAGCTGTCTATTATCTTTTCTCATTAAACAAAATTTCTCCTGTAATCACTAATTGGAGTATGACGCCTTTATCTCTTTCCCCTAAATTTATAACACTTAGTATATTACATAACTTCCATTTGCATTCTGCTTAGTACATTCTAAAGTTACACACTATATTTTAAAAAGAGAAAAAAATATAAATATATAATATAATTAACACAACAATTCATACCAATTCAAATCTATCGTTAATATTAATATTCATTTAAATCTTAAACATTTTACACAATACTTTTCAAATAAGTATCATACTTCTATGGGAACACTTATAAACTTTCCATAATTATTTTTCCCCCACTTCACTTGTATTTTAAAACATTGTGTCATTAAAGTGTTCCCATTCCTTCCTTCTCTCATTTATTTCATTTCCTTTCTTTTGTTCATGAAAGTTTCACTGAATTACACTGAGTATTTTATCCCACTTTTTAATCATATGTTATTTCCAATTTACTAACATTATTTCTGATACAAATATAACAATACAATCTTATGTACCTTTGCAGAATCACTTTTTCAATTAAGTTTTTACCCATTATCTCTAAATAAGTCCTGTTTCTTTACATTTTGCTCCACACCTTTGAAGCTTCTCTTCCCTTCCTTCATCCCTTGCTTCTTCTCTCTGCCCTTTTTACCCCCTTGTCTCTCCACCTCCATTTCCCTCTAATGTATTCCTCTTTTCTGTTGCTTTCTAACATTATATCCACTTTTCACCTTATTTTCCCCTTTTTTGGTTGTTTTTTTAATCTTCTTGTTGCGCAGTCTTTTAGGTCTTAAAGTCTCCATTTTCTTTCCCTCCTTTCCCCTTTCTTCCCCAAGTAAAGTTATTTGTTTGTTAAAGATGGCTTCTTCTTTGTTTTGAAAAAGAGAGCCAAGAGAGCCCTTCCCTTCTTATTCCTCTTCTTTGTATTTTTTAAATTCCATTTTCAGTTCATCCACAAGTGATGCCATTGTAAAAAAAAAAATTTCAAACAACCACTCAAGTGTTTTTAGTCTTTTCAAATATAATTTCCAAAAGTCCCAAAGTCACCAAGCAATTCAAATACACACAAGCTGTTTCTTTTGACACTTTCTTCTTTTTTCACTTTCTCTTCCTGGGGTTACTGTTTAGTTACAAAGTTCCAGTTAAAATGTATCTTTTAGAAGTCTTGTTAGGATTTAATCAGATTCTTTTAAATTCTAGGCAGTCTCCTCCTTCCGAATCCTGCTCTTATTCTTTTCCTCTCCCTTCCCACTTACATCAAGAAAAAAAAAAATTAATGCCAAAGTGGGTTTTTCCAATTTCTCATTCATTTCTGTTCACTGTCAACGTTAGGAAGGAGAGTGAAAAAAAAAACTTTGCCTTTTCACTTTCGTTCGCTGCTTCCGACTCTTCTTTGGGAGCGATGTATCTTTTGCAACATTTAAATTCCAGGGTATCTTAGTTGTTGCTTTTTGTCCTGGTCAGCCAAAACCTTTCACTTCTTAACTTCCTCCTGCACTTTCTTTTCCGGCTGAGTGCTTCTTTGAGGCGGCCATTTCTGACCGCCGCTCTTACCGCCTTCGGAAAAGGGAGTTTAGCCAGCTGAGGAGGAGAGGTGCAGCTCCCCTCAACCCTGGCAGGTCTCCCCTGTCTTCACCACCTCTACAGGGTGGCTTAGCCCCAAAGCCGGCTGGCTCAGGGCACTCCAGCGGCGAGCGCAGGCAGAAACCGTGCACGATCGCGGATTCCTGCCTGCCGCCAAAGCGCTGCAAACCGGAACTCCCTAAATAAATAAAACTTCTGCTGGCATGTAATCATTTTCTATTTCCATTTTATATTTGTCAGAAAATTATGCTGGGTAGCTTCCAGTTGAATTTGTCACCAGTACAATCTTAATCAATCCCTATATCCAGATCAGATCAAGTACATGCACAGCTATGATAAATTCTGCTGGCAAAAAAGCTTGAAGTTTATTTATGAAACATTAGAAAACAATTAACAGTTAACTTACACATTGCCTTCAGTATGTGGTATTCAGTGGTAGTATTCGATTTTTCCCCTACTGGTTCTGTGTGCATGGCTTGGTGGGGAAGCATCATGTGACTGACTGGGTGTGTTCAACTTAATGTCACTCATGCCCATGCCCACTCAGTCACATGTCCCCACACCAAGCCATGCCCACAGAACCTGGTAGGAATTTTTTAAAAAAATTTCTACTTATCTACCTATTTTCTGGCCAGGCAGGCTTGACATAATCTGTCAAAGGCCTGGCCTAATCCTTCATGCTGCCCACTCTCCCTTCACTAGTCACACACATCACCCTGTTTCCCATTTTTCAGAGCCCTGGCCCTTAATCTCCCCATTTCTGCTCTTAAGATTTTCATCATCCCACGGCCGTGACTTTACCTTCCTCCCATGGCTGGCTGCCAGGGAAGGCAAGCCAGGGCTGAGTCATTGTTGTTGCTGGGCTTCCTGCTAGCCCACATCTCACCTTTGTCATGATATGCCTGGAGCTGCCACATGTTTTTCTTTTTAATGCGGCTGGACTCTAGCCACATCGAAAAAAAGATGCAGCAGCTATCGGCTTTTTTCAGCAAAAATTACCAACCTCTAGCTTTACTCCACTTCTGCAATGCACTGCCACAGTAGCATTCTAGACACCACCACGCAGGTCCACCCCATTGAGCATGCTGCACTGCTTTGTTTGGACTTGCTTGGACAAGTCTCTCTGGTACAGTGGGCTCAATGAGGTAGTTCTGCATGGCCAGCATCTAGAATGCAGCAGTGGCAGTGCATTGCAGAAGCGGAGCAAAGCTGGAGGTTGATAATTTTCACTGCAAGAAGCCTACAGCTGTTGCATCTTTTTGCCACTTATTTGCTGGCCAGAACCAAGCCGGGAATAGAAGCTAGAGGATTCTCTTGCTCGCAAAGAGGTGGCAGATGGAGGCTTTTGGTGGGGGCTGGGGATATGGCGAGACTCACCAGGGAATCAAAAGGCAGATTCTGTACCCTGCCTGTTCCTTTTTGGTCCTTATCTCCACACCAAGTACCTTAAAGGGGCAGGCTGCGGCGGCTGCCTTCCAAGCAGCAGTGGAGCCAAGTGAAGGGAGGCAGAAAACTTCACCTAAGTCTTCTCCTTTTTCTCTGGCATACACATTAAAACTTGGCAATATTCTTTAAAATATTCTTATTTTTAATATAATGTAATCATTGCTATCAAAAATATTAAAATGTAGATTTTATTCAATGTTCAAAGTTGTCTTATTTTAATACATAGAACTATAGGTAATCCCTGGGTTATGAGCATTCTCTTGGTGAACATTTGAGCTTATTCAATAAGCATCCCCTAGCATTTGCAAGACCACAATAGTAGTTCACCCTTAAAAACAACTGCAGATGCTCTGCAACATTCATCCTGCAAATTGCTGGCCAAAATGGAGCTTCTGAAGGTTTCACCCTCCCCTCAAAAAGGTCCATTCGACATCCAAAGGCCTCATCTGGTATGTTGCCAGCCAAAATGGAAGTTCTGAGGGGCTCATATGCCCCTTTGAAGCCTTGTTTGTGCATCCAGAGGATTTCCTCGACCCATTACCAGCCAAAATGCAGCTTCTGAGGATTGGATGTGGCCCTCTGAGGCTCTCCGTTTCGCTCTCAGCCTTCCCTGGCCCATTGCAGGCTGAAATTGAGCTTCCAGGGGTGGATCCATCCCCCAGAGGCTGCATTTTGGCCAGCAACAAGTTGGGGGAGGCCCACAGCATTGGAGGACCGATTCATCCCGCAGAAGCTCTACTTCGGCCAGCCACCAAAATCTAGCTTGCTAGATCTTCATAAAGTAAGTAACCTGGTACAGCAGGTAGTGGGGGAAGCAATTGTGGGATGCATGAGGTATTTCAGTGGGTCAGGAAGGTGTTGTAGGTAGCCTGTTCCATCAGTACCCCCCATGGCCTTCCCCATCCCGAAATGCCTCATATGCACTTAACAACCCTTCCATTTGATTCGTGAATGCATGAGCAAAAGGAGGGAGTGATCCCATTCAAGGTATGAGATTTACTTCTATGAATCTTTGGGTTATGAATGGAATGGGCAAGCTCCTTTACATTCGTACCTTGGGGACCACCTGTATAGCAATTTAGAAGGCAACTGCTTCTGTACCAAGTATGTCAGCTCAATAGTCCTATAGAGCATTAGGAATGAAGAATATATAGAATAATCTGTTTAAAGGAACACTTGCACAATTTATTGGCAAGAGCACAGAGTCAGAAAAGGATAAGTTTCACAAATTAAGTGGATTCATACACAAAGTATGCATTTTCATAGTCCCCAAAATAAGATTTAATTCACTTTCCCCATTACTTTAACAAAGGCCTCTTTAACATCTTTGTTTCTCAGGCTGTAGATGACAGGGTTCAACATAGGAGAGACCAAAGAATAGAAGACTGCAGCTTTCTTCTCTTGATCTGCAGAGAGATCAGACTGGGGCTGCAAGTATGTGAAGCAGATGGTGCTGTAGAACAACACAACAATGGTGAGATGTGTGGCACAAGTAGAGAAAGCCCGTTGTTGCCCTTCAGTTGAATTCATATTGAAAACCACCCTGGCAATATGGAGGTAGGAGAGCACTATAAAGCCAAGAGGCAGCATAAGGACAATTACACTCAGAGCGAAGATTAAGATCTTTATCATATAGGTGTCCAGGCAAGCTAGTTGAAGCACAGCTGGTGCTTCACAAAAGAAATGGTTGATTTCATAAGGTCCACAGAAGGGAAAATTTACTGTGCAAACTGTAAGTGCTGCAGCATTGAAAAAGCCTCCAAACCAGCATATACCAGTCATCTGTACACACATTGGCATTCTCATGATGATGGGATATCGAAGTGGCCAGCAAATGGCCACATAACGGTCATATGCCATAAGAGCTAAGATGAAACATTCTGTTATCCCACAGGAGAGGGTTAAGTTCATTTGGGCCATGCATCTGTTGTAAGAGATCATCTTAGTTTCAGAAGCCATGTGGGTTAGCATTTGAGGGATAGTGATCAGTGTGAAAAATATATCCAGCAAAGATAAGTTACCAATGAAAAAATACATTGCTGTGTGGAGACGGGAGTTGATCCAGACCAAGAAGATGATCAAGCTGTTTCCAAGAACAGTGATAAGAGACATAGTGAAAAATATCATAAAAAGGAGTGGCTGTAATATGGGATGACTGGTAAAGCCTAGAAGAATGAATCCATTCACTGAAGTCTCATTCTGAGTCCACATTTCACCCACCAAGCTTCACCTATGTGATAATCATAACAAAAATTGATTTATCTTCAATACTTTAGCTGACAAAGAAATATTATTTTCCCTTTTTATCTTAATTGCTCTCTGGATTATATAGTTTATTTCTGGTATGTAATCAGAGACCTAAAACTAACCAGAAACTTTAATACAAGTACCCAGCATAATATGAATGAATCATAATACAGAATAAATAATCTCATACAGATACGTCAACAAGAACATACATTGCAATGTCCTACCTGTCAATGAATACTTCAGCTTCAACCATAACAACACAAGAGCACACAATAGATACAAACTCAAAGTAAACCGCACCAAACTTGATTGCAGGAAATACGACTTCAGCAATAGAGTGGTCAATGTCTGGAATACTCTACCCGACTCTGTAGTTTCTTCCCCAAACCCCAAAAACTTTAACCTTAGACTGTCTACTATTGACCTCACCCCTTTCCTAAGAGGTCTGTAGGGGGCGTGCATAAGCGCACCATCGTGCCTACCGTCCCTGTCCTATTGTTTCTCTTATTCTTTTATTTTTCTTATATGTACCCATTTCATGTATTCACAACTATGTATACACTTATACTTATTATCTTGTAAACAATTGGCAAATCAAATCAAATAAATAAATAAATAAATAAATAAAACAATACACAATTACGAAAGGAAGCTAATAGCATTATAGAATAATCCCAATGGGTTATCCCTTAATAATCCCAATGTTTAATTCTGGACCTGAACAATGAAGACTTGTATTTATCTTCATATCATCCTTATGATATCCTTCATGTTTTTAGAATAGGAAGGTGAAAAAAATATTCATTTATAAAAATTTTGTACCTCCCAAATTCTAATGATCCTGGGCACCTCAAAAGAACTAAAACAAGAAAAATAAAATTAACAAGAAAAAATAATAATCTTTGCTCCTAAAATCTAGGAAACGGCAATATACAATATTTCAAGGAATGAAACCCTTTAAAAGATGTATTTTATATTTTTTTAACCTAGAAGCATGCCATATATGCATTGAATTTTCCCCTGAAATGTAACAGTGGTAGAAAAAAAGTTTGTAAATATAACAGAAGCAGATTTTAAAAAGGGTATACATGCAAATGAATTTCATAATGTGTCACATTTAAGCATATGTATGAGATATTGAAAAGATACTTAGTTTTTTTTTTTAGAAATCTGTCTAAATGTCAGCTAGAAATGTGTACATGGTTATGCTCTACAGTCTTCCATTCATGTTTAAGGAAATACATGAATAGGCCTATTAAGAAAGTATGCACAACTTTTTGAATTGTTTAAATACGTGTACACATGCACACACACACACACACACACACACACATAGAGATGCTACTTAAGTTTGACCAATCTTCCTAAAATCTTGTAAACCAGAGGCCACTTCATATAAATTATGAACCATATGTTCAAATGTAGCTTTGATGCTATACAACAAATTCATCCAGGAAAATATATTGACTAATAGAAACCTTCAACTAGATGAAAGAATCCTGGTCCTTTTCTAATGAGAAAAAAAAACATAAGTCAACACAATATGTTGCATGGTTATTAAACACTAGCATAGAATTATGGCAAAATCTCCATCCATAGATTCCTACAAAAAGGAATAATAACAATAATAGAAATGCAGAATCTTTAAATCACAAAGTATTCAGAATGTGTATCAGAGAGACCTAGATTCCTGAGAGAACTGAGAAAAACACAAAGCCCACTGGGGAGAAATAGCCTTGGAAATGGTTGTGGAACTGAAACCTGTGGGAGAAACCTGTATTTTAAATGCCATGGAGTCATTTCAATAGGTAATATATTATTTTACCATACTATATTCCATTAGATCAAAGACAACTTTTTCACACTGTTATTCTGTTATATTTCCTTCTCAAGATTTTAAGAGACAAGCAAGCATTTCATCTACTGGCAGGCTTGAGTGTAAATGGTAAAAGAATTTCCTGCTACAAATTAATTCTACTTGTCATCTATCAATGTATTTTTCTTTCATTATATTGTTTTCAGTAATGCATTATTGTTTTATCCATGATTAATTTTACCCCATATCAATTAGATCTCTTCAAGATCCATTGGCATAAATGAAAATCTTTTGCTTTGCTTTATCATACCATACTGCTTCAAAAGAAGCAAGAATAATGTTTCCTGTGCAAAGTAAGCAGTTAGTGGAAGTGAAATGTGTTTATTATATCTATATTTGATGTTTTAAACATTAATAATATTAGATGTCTAACTTATTTCACAGTAAAATGAAACAAATGAAGTTCACAGTTCTGAGAATTAGAGAAGAAAAAATGACTGAAGGTGAAACCAAATGAATACTATTATAAGCAATATCCAAACCAAATGAGTGTTGGGGCAAAACTGTTTTAAATTTGGTTGACATTTTTTCAGGGATTTTTAATTTAATTTAATTTTTTAGTATTTTAAAGCTGTCTATACCTTGTACCCACCTCCCTATAGAGTCTTCTCTCTTTTATACTCCATTCTGCCCACCAGTATTCTTTCCCAGCATTTTAGTAATTAAACAAAATATTCCACTTGCTGAAATATCTTAGGTTGAACATCAGTGAAAAAATTTCCTGACTGAAGTCTTGTCAAAGAGATGCTCTCTATAAAAGATGTGCTATAAATCCTGCATTGAGAAAAGAACTGAATAGAGGTGACTTCTATGGTCATTTTTAACTTTAAGTTTCTGTAACTATATAAACATTGTGCTTGTGATGATAAACAAGGTTAAAAATCTCTGTTTGGAATATCCTTGTAGAAGAACTCTTTTCTCTTTATTCCAAACAGAGATTTATAAATTCTTGCAGAAATGTCTTATAGTAAATTTAAGTTAAAAAAAAATGCTGATGAAAACACACAAGTCATAATGTATGTATTGATAAAGGAGATTGGACGTACATTAGGGGCAAAGTCATTAATGATAAAAAAAACTTAATCTTCTCATAGGAACATTTAAAAAGTTCCCTTAACAGACTTCTTTTTAATTATATAGGTCCAACGCTGTCTAGATTGTAGCATAACTGTATTTTTATATAAAGCAATAGTCTCTTTTGCATTTCTTAATTAAAAAGTGGGTTTCTAGGCCAAATTATATACATGATTCAAATGATACCAAAGAATATTGTGATGCTGAATCTGATAATGCCTAAGGTAAGATTTTAATTTGAAATATTTTGATTCAAAGGAAAATCTTTATCAATAGACAAAACTCTCCTGTTATGAATGGGAAAAGCATCTTAAAAATTCTGGTCATGAAAATAGTATGGAGGAATGAATGAAGACAGTGTTGAAATGCAGAATAGTAACAATATTTAGTCTGAGAAACTGAGGATCTAAAATAATAGTATACAATGGTAATACATGGGGAGAAGAATTGCCACCATGAACAAATAATAAAAACATATTGACCGGAGCCATAATTATGTACATATGTGATAAGATAATAAATGTACTTTTCTCTCTCTCCATATCCAGTGTAACATCATGTTCTTATCTGAAATTGGGAATCAAACATCTGTTACAGAATTCATACTACTGGGATTTTTAAATATTACACATGGAAAGAACTTCTTCACCATCCTTTTCCTTACTATGTATATTATCTGCATTTCAGGGAATTCATTCATAATTACTGTAACTGTGCTAAATCGATCTCTTCACACACCAATGTACTTTTTCCTTGGCAATCTTTCTTTCTTGGATATTTGTTATATCTCTGTGACTGTACCAAAAATGTTAGCAAGCCTTTGGCTGCAGTGTCCCATCATTTCCTTGGCAGATTGTATAGCACAGCTTTATTTCCTTGTTGCCTTAATGAGCACTGAAGGATTCCTACTTGCCTTCATGGCTCTTGACCGCTATTTTGCTATATGCTGCCCTTTGGTTTATACCAGACTCATGACTAAATACACCTGTCTCCAGCTAGCTACCATATCTTGGGTTTGTGGTTTTCTAAATTCTTCTCTACATACAACACTCACATTCCGTTTGTCATTCTGCCAGTCTAATAGGATTAGTCACTTTTTCTGTGACATCCCTCCATTATTGAGTATCTCATGCTCTGACATATTGTTGAATAAAGTTGCTATTTTCACAATAGGCATATTTATAGGTCTTAGCCCTTTCATTTTTACATTGGTCTCTTATACATTCATCCTTCATGCTATTATGAGCAACGATCACAAAGGACAGCATCACAAAGCCATTTCTACTTGTGCATCTCACATTCTAGTTGTGATTCTGTTTTATGGTTCTGCTATCTTCACATATTTCAATCCCACATCTACTCATTCATTTGAAAAATATCAGCTTGTAGGGGTTTTATATAATATTTTGACCCCAACACTCAATCCCATAATCTACAGTTTACGGAACAAGGAAGTGAAACTGGCTCTGAAGAAATTGATGCATCTGAGAAAACTGGTCCATGAAGTTAGAATCCAATTCAATTGACTTAAATCAGCTTTATTCAACTGGAACAGTATAGGGAAGAAGATGAACAAAAGAAATCTTGTATAAAAGATGTTCTCAACCAACATGTGGCACATGAGACAAGTCATGCTGCATGTCCTCTTTCTCTCTCTCTCTCTCTCTCTCTCTCTCTCTCTTTCTTTCTTCAGCTTTGCACTCATCCAAAGCCTTTAATTTTTTTCCAGCTACAATTTTCTGCTTTATAACATACTGCTGATAATCGCCAAAAGAAAGTTATATTTAATTAAATTTGTTCAATAGTTCCTAAATGATATGAATGCCAGAAAGAATTGTTGTGCTTGAAAAACATGATAAATTTGGAATATTAGTAAGTCTAGCAAGTAATTAACAATGATAATAATATAAATATACATTGTGGATTTACAGTATGAGGATTAATTTTAAATTAGAAGGGAAAGACTGCAGAGATCATGCACAAGAGATTTGTACTAACCGACACACTGTAT